TACGCTGTCACTGGACGCCAATGTACTCCGGCTTGAATTGGGACCACGTCATGTCTTCATTTGCTGCTTCAGATAGCGATTCAGTTCGAAGTAGCTGCCTCAACGTTAGCCACGTTGTATCTTCACTACAGAGTAGCTAGCTATGTATAGCTAAGCACTTCCAATCTTGCAGCACTATCTTCTTCGTCGCATTTGCATGTAGGTAGTTCTTCACGAACCGGCTCCGATAATTTTAACATTTTCAATAATCCCGGTCCATCCCACTTCTGATGTAGGATCAGGGTCCGACATTATTTGAAAATAAAACAAAGAGCTTCACACAATCACTTAGTTTATTTCGATTAAATGAACTTACTTTCACATTAATTTTTAATTATAATAATTGAATAATTCAGCACTGATTATATAAAGGAAACACTCAAATAAAACCAACAATAAAATTACTCAGCGATTGCGTAACGTGTGAACTGGGCAACGATCGACGAACGACTGACTCGAGCTTGCGCTTGCGCTGCTTTATATATCACTCGGTGGTGGGGTTGAAGTGACGTCGGTCAGTTGTTTGTTCACTGCTTGCCCATTACATTTGCAGTTTACAAAATAATGACGGCGGCGCCGTCAAATATATTGTGAATTTATTATTCAATTTAAGTGCCCTACCCTGTACAACAAAAATATTTTGTATTCATATTTTTGTAGCTTAGGTATTCAATTTCTTGTGACATTCAAACCTCAATTGTACAATAAATATATATATTTTTGTATAGCAAAATTGAAAAGACAAATGTATCGAAACTATACTTTTCAAAGTATTGAATATTATGGTACTGGCATATTTTCGTTAGTATTTTTGTGTAACAGAACAATATATTCATTAATTAATCTTCAACACGAAGAACCAATTATGTTTGACACTCCTTTAAATCGTACACTTACCATTACTTTTGAAACGCAATGTTGTGTCACGAGCATACCTACTGTTCGACCTTTTGTTATCTCCTCATGTTTTGAGTAATTTATGATGATCTTAATCAAATAGATCTCATCTCAACTAAGCCAAGACTCAATATTACAAAGGCATTCTTTAATTCGTCACAGTAGCGCAAAATATGCGCGAGGCCGTAATCTTTTTGTATTCAAGGATTTAGCTATCTTTTCCTTAGAATCTGACACAAATCAGTTAATTTTCTTTTAAAATTTGACCTTAAAATAATATAGTATTTGTTCATATTTCTTGAAGTTTTTTTTGTTCTTACCAATTTGCCATTGAAGTCTCTTTTAGTTTTTCTTCATTTTGCCAATCTAGGCATTCTTTTTAAAGCTTTAGATAAGCGTTTTTATTTTATCAATGCAATAAAAGCAGTTCTCAATATCGCTGCAAACATATTTTCTGTGTTAAATTCCTATAGAATGATGATTGTGGTGTGATCCACAGTGATCCATGGGTAAAACAGTTTTCAAAACTACATAAATGGTAGTAAAGCTGTCTTGCAGTTCTAGCTACTCCAAGTGCAGTTCCAAACAATCCTTGACAAAAGTACTATTCAATAGATATTGTAATATTGTCCGTTTGTCTCGTAATATCAATCTCATTTTGAGAACCAATCAACAAATTAAGTACCTCCTTATCTGAATGAACAAACAAATTAAAGTCCAAATGTCCATCATTCTAATATTTTTCCATATTGATTATTTCCTGTGAGTATAAAACTATAGTCATTACAAATTAACAGTTCATTGAATGTCTAAATCATTTCATCTTCTCAATTCTAATGTACTATGGTTGTCCAGTTAGTTGTAATTTGTATTGTTCCTCATTTTGAGTTCCATGACTGCAACATTCTTCAGCTTCATACTGTTTTGTTCTTATCTCATTCTGAGTATCTTTTACATTAATAGTAATTCACTGTTTGTTGAGTATAGTATGTGTTGGAATCCCTCGTAGAAAGCATTTCAGTGCTTATTTAAAAATGAAAACAATTATCCTCTGCTAATAAGCATTCCAGTAAATCTATAACAATTCATTGTCTCACACATGCCTATTGCAAGTATCATTTAAGGTGCAAATATTAAAATATCTTTGCAACACCGACATGCTCTGATCACTATATTTTTCTGTAGAGTGGACACTGTAAAAATAAATATAGTTATTTAACGTTGCGGGTACACTGTTACTGGCCAGTTGTGACCAGCACACGCATGCAATAACACTGTACTTTATGTGTGATAATGTTTTAAATAGATAAATAATCGTTTTTAAAACCAATTACCAACTACGGTAAACCTTCTCAGTGTCAACTTAATTGTAATTAGCAGTAAGGAACATATGTTTATATACCTTTCAGGAACAAATCCATCTTCATGGAACCTCTCCTTCCTGTCCGGATAGTCCCTCTCACGGTAGCGGTCGTTGTCCGGTGGACCTCGCCTAGTAAAAAGATTAGTTTAGCTAAATTAACAAGTAGTTTAATGTGGAGAGCCCTAAAATTACAATTGCAGTGAAACAACACTTAAAAATATACATATTTTTAATCTGACACATAACATAAATGAATAAACAAGGCATACCTTTCACGATAATCTCTTCTATCTTCATACTCCCTCCTTTTTGGGCCTCCGCGCTCTTCAAACTGATTGAAACGGTTTAACCCTAAAACAAAGCAATATCAATAAGAACACATTCATCTTGGAATAACAAAAATTCAATAAAAATAAAATAACCACATTATATACCATTATTTAATTAAATACCACATGTGGTTTATATTTTTCTAAACCAATATTGAAATATTCTACTTTAGTACCCATGTACTATTTAATTTTCCAATAATCAATTAGACACAAACCTCTAGAATCATCCCTTGGATGGAAGCGCTCCTCATGTTCTCTGGGTCTCCTTTGATATTCTTCTTTAGGAGACCTATGGTCTTCATATCTGTGATTCCTAAACATAATAAAAACATTATTAGAATTAAATAATAATGACTTGTTTCCCCAACTACGACCAGCACATTTAAGTATCCTACAAGCAAACATTAATGTGTACTTGTAATGTACCTTTTATAGTCATAATCCCTTTGCCGTCTATTATGTTCTTCATTAGGATCATGATATTGGGAGCTTTGGCCAAATTTCTCTCTATATCTATCATTTTTGTCTTGATGATATTGTGTATATCTGCAATGATTTTATGATATAGTGTAATGAAGTATTACACATAATCATTTTAGAATAAAACATTCTTTAATTACCTGTCATTGTGGTCCCTGTCATATTGTTGGTACTGCTCTTGATATTGTTGCCTCCTTTCCTTGCTGGATCCTCGGTAAAAACGTTGTACTTCACGTTCTCTTTCATAATCTTCAGGAGACACTGATCTTTGGTATTCTTTCCTTAAAAGTGATACATAAAGTATTATAATATGTTTTATCATACAAAACTCTAGTGAAAACTAGTATATTATAAGAATCTCCAACAACTTACTGGTTATAATATGACCGTATTGGGGGATTTGCTTCTTCTGAAGACTCACGACGTTCTTTAACGACACTATGCAAACGGCGCTGTGTTTGTTCATCTGAGAAATAAATTACATTACACATTTGCATATAACCAAAAGAGCCTGTAATTATTCCAACACAATAAAATTCACTAAACATAGTAAGAAGCAACTAACCTTGTGCATCGGCGGAAGTGCTGCGTGGTCTTTTATGTTTGCGTTTATGTTTTCGTTTCTTCTTGGAAGATATTTCACCTTCACTAACTGAAGACACATCTTCGGCGCCCGATCCGCTTTCTTCCACTGAGTCTGAACGCCTCTTTTTCTTACTGTGCTTCTTCTTCTTTTTCTTATGCTTCCGTTTCTTTGAGCGTTTCTGGTCTTCAGAATCGCTCTCCGATTCACTAGAATCAGCACGTTTCTTTTTCTTTTTGTTGTAGCGGTGTTCCGACACTGAAGAATCATCACTCTCGCTACCCGAAGAACTGCTATTTTCACTTGCATCAGATTCCTCAGAATCCTCAGAGGATGTGTGATGACGCTTCTTGGATTTCATTATTTATGTAATTTTATGATAATTTCACAATAAAATGGTAGAGTTATTGAAAAACACACCGATACCACGACACCAAAAACAAAATGTTCTGACGTCCACACATGACACAGCTCAGAGCGCGAATGAATAATGAACAGTTCGTTCAATTCGTTCATTCAGTTCACTTCAGGCGTTCACAGATATCTTACCCCTCTCGCTGTTAGGTTGGCAAACCTCAGCGTTATTTACTTATGTTGCCACCTAATAAATATTACTCCCAAACGAAATTGTATGGGTCTTCATCTTTTCGTATTAATATTATAAATGCGAAAGTTTGTGTGTCCATGTTTGTTAGTTATAACTAATTAATTTGACACCCTACCTCACAGTAGCGATGAGGAAAATGTTTTCTTTGATGCCTTATGGTATATTTTTATATTTTTTTTAAGGTATTAACATATTAAAAGTTTGAAATTATTCATATTTTAAGTTGTATAAATTAATATTCGATAATAATTCCTGTTCAAATTAATAATTGAAAGTAAAAAGAATATATTATAATAAATTAAATTTGGAACAGGAATTTGGTCGGGAATATCACATAAGCTACTTTTTATCCCATGGAAACACGGGTGAAACCGCAGGCAAAATCTATTATAATAGTTATTAAATTAAATAACATTAAACACAATTTAAAAAATTACCAAGGGTTAACACCCCTATATAGGTTCTATGTATAACTATAGTTATAAAATAGAACCCAAAATTGTGGTTAGATTTGTTGTCTGTCTGTCTGTATATTAATTGTGCACGCGTCATGAAAACTACTGATCCGGTTCTTATGTGGTTTTCATTGGTGTATTCGTCTTCTTTTAATTCTATATTAATAATAAATCGCATCCAATCCTTTAACGGGACAATACGGCCTGCAAAAACACATATGTAATTTCCCACGGGAACGCGAGCGAGGCTGCCGTCAAAGCTTGTGAGTCTGTATTTTTATTACCTATAGCACAGAATTTTCAAGTTCAAAAGCGATATTTTCTTAAGTGGGTAATAATTGGAGAACATGGGTGTACTGTATGGTTGCATAGTACAAAGTGGGACGGATTATTACATTCTAATAACAATTGTAATTTAGAAAAATTAAATGCCACATGGACACTAAAATAAAATATTTTTTCTCAGAACCAATTCATTACCACTTACCAGACTCTGTGTTAACCGAAAAGTATAACCTGAGATATTACTTTAAACGTGGAACAAACTTGCACTAGCCTCTGGGAGTCTTCAAAGCTTATTATATTCTAGAAACTATTGTAATATAGAAAAACTTAATGCTGTAGTATTATCGGCATTAAAATAGAATATTTTCTATTTATTCATCTCAATTTATATTTTCATGTACTAATTACCTACTTAAAGAAGGAATGAAAATTAACCACCACGCTCGCACTAGGCGTATCTATACGCCGGCCTGCGGACGGTGAGCATGGGTAACCAGCAACCAGAAACAGACCCGAGCGCCTCAAAGAGCCATCAGACCACCACAGATGGGGCCCAATAGGGCCGATGCCGATTCGGAGTCGCAGAGAACCTAACGGGTTACCGGGGCTCCGGCTCGACGTGCAGGAGAAGGAACGGGGTGGTTTTTAGTCAGTAAGAGTCTGACACTACCTCCCGCCTCACCCAGACGAGAGCAGTAATTCTATGATTTTCCAAAAAAAAGGTCGTATCATCCTAGCATCTGTCAGTAGTGTCCAAGTTGTCTTACATCTATGTATGTAGTAACTAGGTAAACACTTGGTTGAACTAAACTTAAATTAATCTTGTCACAATCACAAAGCGTGGTCCACTTGACAAGGATTGCTTCCTCAGAAGGGGCTATCAGAACTGTGGATTAAGCAGAATGTACCTCGATTATATACAGACCGTTCCTGAAAGTATATCGTAAACTAAGTATGTTCCTATTTATTCATCTATTTACTATACTTAGTAAAAAAAACGTTAGACAATTTTTCAATACAACGAATCTTTCAAAATCCTTAAAAATAATCACATTGATAAGAATTTAAATTAAATAAATATATATACAATTTAAAATAGAAATAACTAAAAATTAACATATTTATACCATAAATAAAGTAATAATAATAAAAATGTCTGGAAAATGACCATCACATTGTACTGGGACCGGTCTATCATTAGTATTACTGACAGGACTATTGTAGCCAATAAACCTGACATAGTGGTGATAGACCGACAAGTACGCCGCACGATGATAATCGATGTCACCATTCCCCATGACGAGAACCTCGTGAAAGCTGAGAAAGATAAACAAATAAAATATCTAGACTTAGCTCACGAGATTGTCGACATGTGGAGTGTGGATTCGGCTATCATTGTGCCGATAGTCGTGTCGGCCAATGGGTTAATCCCTAAAAGCCTCGACATCGTCGTCGTCGTTAGGTGGTTGGATCAAGGGCCTGATACAGAAGGCAGTTTTCCTAGAAACGGCACGTATCGTGAGGAGGTTTCTGTCTCTGGAGCCCTAACCACCGCGCACCGGTAGTTTGGACCATGCTCCCGCTACTGGTCGGCTCCTATATTTTATATTTTTAAATAATATTTTTTTAACTTTGTAAGTAGTATTTAAAAATGTAATTTATAGATAATTTTAAATAAATATATCTATATCTATACTAATATTATAAAGAGGAAAGATTATTTTGTACCTATTTTTGTATGTTTGTAATGAATAGGCTCAAAAAGTACCGGGCCGATTAAAAAAATTCTTTCACCAATAGAATGCTACATTCTTCCAATTTGACATAGGCTACTTTTCATTTTGATAAAAATTAGGTATCCATGGTAAAATTTGAACAATGTAACCGAAGGTGTAGAAAAATGAGTCTTAAAATGTCTTTCGTCGAATGCGCTGCCGGAACTATTAGCGATAATGTCTACAAAAAACTCCACGGTAGCATATAATAATAATAATAATGACCATATCACGTTGTACTGGGACCGGTCTATCATCACTGACAGGACTATTATAGCCAACAAACCTGATATAGTGGTGATAGACCGACAAGTGCGCCGCACGATGATAATCAATATCACTATTCCTCATGATGAGAACCTCGTGAAAGCTGAAAAAGATAAACAAATCAAATATCTTGATTTGGCTCACGAGGTTGTCGACATGTGGAATGTAGATTCGGCTATCATTGTGCCGATAGTCGTATCGGCCAATGGGTTAATCCCTAATAGCCTCGACAACCACCTTAGGAGGCTAGCGTTAGGTAGTTGGGTCAAGGGACTGATACAGAAGGCAGTTCTCCTTGAAACGGCACGTATCGTGAGGAGGTTTCTGTCTCTGGAGCCCTAACCACCGGTAGCTTGGACCATGCTCCCGCTACTGGTCGGCTCCTATTTTTTATATTTTTAAATATTATTTTTGTCTTTATAAGTAGTATTTAAAAATGTATTTTATAGAGAATTTTGAAATAAATATATGGAATAATAATAATAAATAAGCTTTATTGTACACCAAGCAAGTAATTACACATATTCGGAAATTAAAAAGATATGTCCTACTATTGTAGTTATGTCACTACAACAATCCAAAATTCCACAAATAAATAATTCTCTACCCCGTGCGAAGCCGGGACCGGCTGCTAGTGGAATATAAAAAATGTTATCTTTAGGAATCAAAAAAAAAAATTTTCCTCATCGCTATCGTGAGGTGTGCCCAAAAAATTGGCAGCATTGTCACTCTTCCCTTTGGCAGCATTGCCCTTTCATTAATTGATTTTACTTTATATCAGATTTTCATATTACGGAATGCGGGCCAAGCCGGTGACAGAAGCTAGCACTGTATAAATCTTTGTCGTGGTGGCATAGTATCACTTTATTTTTTCAAAGCTAGCTGAGTTAAATTTATAAAAAAATTACAATGTCATAACAATTACGATACTAAAACAAAAGATTTATAAACATCAGTATGCTGACTCAGTATCGATTTTACGATACAATTATTTTCCAACAAAGATCTTATTGCCACCTTGACCTCATAATCCATTACAAACCTAACTAAACTATTGTCAGGATTCGACTACGAAATCTACGAATACCGCTACGAGTCTGCCTGCGCGTGCCTTATACATATCATCTCAAACAAAATGTCATTGTTTTAGTTGACGTTTTTCAATAGAAATGTCAATGAATGATCAAAAGAGTGAAAGTGTCAAGTGAGGGAGGAAAGTCGGAAACTTTATAATTTTTTGAGTTTACTGAACAAATATTTGTTATAGGTGCTATATTGTAAACGATAATTTTGACCACATATATTATCGTGCAACATATTCTCAAAGAAAAGCAATAGTATTCCACCAAATACATGTTTTGTATTATGGTTTAATTTATTGTAGATACAGAACGTCGCTTGATAAAGCATCGTTGGCATACTTTATAGAGTGTTTAAAAGTGTAAAATTGTGTTACACCCTATCAAAGATATGGCTACACGTAAAAGAAGTGGTTCTGGGTCTAAAAGACACCTGAAGGAGAAAGTTGTACAAATCTATGAGTCTTTCTTTAGGGGTGAAGATTTAACCACTGATAATGCCACATTCTGGGATGAATTCTTTCTCCTCAAGCCTAAAATTCCACAACTTGAAGCTGAGATTCACAAGCTGACTGTAGAACAGCTCATGAGCATGAAAGATAGTATTAATTTACTTGTATCACAATGTATTGAGATGTTAGGGCAAGAACATCACATAAGGTAACATTTTATTTGTGACATTAAAGTAAAAAGTAATTATTTACAGTCTAATTATTAATTTGACATAATACTATTTCAGATTGGTGTATGCACTTCAAACTCTCAGTGCTCTTTTGATAACAATGTACCAAAGAGCTGCCCAAGACTCAAATGTCAATATTAAAACAGTGTTAATTGGATCAGATAATCCTGACATGAAAATGCAAAAGTTGTTTGAACATTGTAGCACCATTTTATCAGGTAATACATAGTTTACCAATAACTAATAAGAACTGTAATATAAAGTCAAATAAATAAACAAGGCTACAATTTTTACCACCAGTGGTCCATTGTCAATCCAATGGTAATTCACTATTACTTAATAGCCTGCAAGTCTACTTGCCTACTAAAATATGAAACAATAAGAAATATGTCTGTCTTACTAAATAAAATTAGTAGTAGAAAATACATCATATCTTATTTTGAAGTACTAGGACTTCATAGTATAGTTAGAAGTGTATCACAAACAAATAAAATTTAGTATAGTGTATTTACTTATTTATTTTTAATGGTACAACAATAATCTATGATTAAGAAAACAACTTTTGCCTAAAGTAATTATAATGAACATTTGCAGGTGATGTTCCAGACAGTTTAAAGTCAATGGTTCTAAAGCTTCTTCTAGTAATAGCAACAGGACTTGACAACATAGATGAAAATCCTCTGGTGGAGTATTTTATGCAGAACTCATTGTTTGAGTCCCTAATACAATTACTTTGCACCTCTACAGAAAGACAACACCACGGTAAATAACTATTATTATTTCATTTTTTTACTGCATTGTATTGTAATACTATTCTAAATGTTAGTTGTATCAGCTTTCATTATTATTAATACCAGCTTTGTAAATATTTTTAAAAAATCTATGATAAAAATTACTTATTTTTATTTCTTTTTTAGGGTATGATGTGGTCATGCTGTTGATGTTTTTAGTAAACTATAAAAAACAAGAATCTGCTAATCCTTATGTTGTGAAATTATCCATACTAGATGATGAATTAGCTTTGAATGGGTATGTATTGTAATCCATACAGATAAATAATTTAAGTGTCTGTTTGTAATATCAAAATAACCGCTTTTTGCTACATGCATGCATAATATACATACAATACACTACCAACATAACATTTTTTACAATTTTTGTCTGTCTGTCTGGTTGTACTGTCTAATCTCTGGAATGGCTGGAACGATTTTGATGGAACTTTTATTAGCAGGTAGCTGATGTACCAAGGAGTAACATAGGCTACTTTTATTTTGAAAAATTGATACAAACAAATGTCCTAAAATTGATATTCTAAGCGGACAAAGCTCGGCTCGACATGCAGGAGAAGGAACGGGGTGGGTTTTAGTCAGTAAGAGTCTGACACTCCCTTCCGCCTCACCCAGGCGGGAGCAGTCATTCGATGATTTTCCCCAAAAAAAAAAAAAAAAAAAAAAGCGGACAAAGTTGCGGGCAACAGCTAGTAAAATATAAAACGAACTACCTATTGAAACTATACAATTAGTAATCTACTGATTTATTTTTTAGGTACGGACAAGTTATTACGGCAGCTCTGAATGACTATGTGATGTCAACATTTGGCAGTATGCAGGGAGGTGGAAGTGGCGGTGGTTGGCTCTCTTCCTTCACAAGTATGGTTGGTGGGATATTCATGACCAGTGATGAGACACAACCGGTTATCAGAGGACAGAGGGGCAGGTATGAAGATTTTATTATACAATCAAAACAAAACTTGTTACATGGTTAAATAAGAAGAATTTATTTTCAATTGATAATCCATAACAGCAGTCTATAAACCTCTATAAAAGCGTATGTTATCTATTCTGGGTAGGTAGCTAAAACTTTACGATCTTTGAAACAGAAAACGTGATTGCAAATAAAATTATTATATTGAGTACATGATTTTATTAGGCTTCTTACTAGTTCTATGTAACTGCGCGTACGTAATGGTAATGCAATATTAACGACGATGGCGACTAACATTACGTGTGTAAGTAAAGATTAACTATGCGTTATGCTTGTTTATATAAGGATATACCTACCATAGATATTCGATAACTAAGTAACTGATAAACGAAATAGAGCAATAGACATGAAAATTTGATCAGATAAGATTAGGACACATTATATCTAGGTATTTGAACCATTGTTATCCCAATCAAAATACTTAAACTCATTGGAAGTTTTAGTCCTTTGTTTGTCTGTTGCCTTACAAAATTAAATTGGCTATGTCACAACCAAGATATTGTAGGTATTACTTAGGCTTAATTTACATTGGAATGGATGGCGGAATGGAATGGAAATGCAAGGAAACTGTACGTAGCATAATTATTATTTATTATTTTTATTACAGAAAACTCAACAGCTTATTTAGTAAATGCTACATCTATAATAATGACAAGGCATGGAAACTTAAGCCAATAACAGAGTTTTTCAGCATGCGTTAGGTAAAAGTAGGAGAGTGAGCAATATAAAATAAAATTAAACAATCAAGGACATTTTTTTATAAAGCAATAATTAAGAAGAATAATAAATTAATAATGTTATAAGAGTCACGCACTAGTGAGTATTTGTATAAGCGACTTACGAAAGGATACCTTTGACAAATTAAATATATCCACACTCTCAAACTTCTCTGTGTAAATGCGAGGTAGTCGAGTCATAACAGCATTTTTATAATGAACTCTATATCAACTGTATAACACACAAATTAAATACCAGCCAAAAAATTGGACGCGTGTCGTCCGCGGAATCCTCGCGCATTCTTGAGAATTCCCTGGTGTCGTTTCTATAGAGGAATCGGTAAGCGGCGCGAATGGCCATTCTAGTCAAGTAAAAGACAAAACAATGAGACGCGATCATGCGTGCGCGGATTTTCGCTGGAATTCTCCAGCACTCCCGAGAATTGCCGCGTCATGAGACGAAATTGATGCTTCCATTCCGCGGCGGTGGAAATTGAGTTCTTTGTTATTATTTTATTGAGGACACGTTGCTAGGTACACCATAACACATTTAAATTCCCTCCATTTTTATCACAGTGGTGCTGAAGAAGGGATGTTACTGGCATTGTATGAGGCAGCTCATTTGAATCGCAACTTTATGACAACACTGGCCCATTCCTCGTCAGCTGCAGCTTCATCAGCGCCGCCTTCTCCGCCGGCTACGTTACCACCTCATCAGGTAAGATATGCTATAATTTATTTGACATATTTGTAATATGATACTAGCTTCTGCCCGCGACTTTGTACGCGGAACCCCGTATTTTCTCGTTCCCGTAGGATTTTCGGGGAAAAACTATCCTACGTCCGTTTCCTGGTTCTACCTCCCACCAATTTTCAGTCAAATCGATGTAGCCTTTCTTGAGTTAATAGTGTAACAAACACGACTTTCTTTTGTATATAGTAGATAGATGATTATAAACTGCACAGTCTAAAGTTACAAGTCTCTTTTGCCTTAAGCTTAAAAATATTCATCGTATATTCGCGCACTGGTCTCTTAGTTTTATAAAAAAGTAATTTGATGTTCTATTACCCATCTGCAAACAAACCCATGTAATGATATGTCATTCATAATATAAAAGGTATTAATAAATTGTTTCAGACTCCGCCAAATTTAAGTCAAATACAAGCTCTTGATAATGAGCAACCTACCAACTTGCTAGTCACATTCTTCCAATATTGGTAAGTCTCACATAAACAAAGATACGTCGTACCTATTACAGACTAAAGAATACTATTTAATGTCTAAATTCGATAATAAATGTTCTATTTTTCAGTTCCATTGTAATGGCAGACACACGCAGCGAAGCTAGCATTAATAAATGCAGTCTATGTTTCATAATACTTACTTGTATAGTGGAAGAACAATTTGCAAATTCAATTATGCATGACCAGAATCTAACTTTTAAGGTAAAATAATTTTTATTACAAAAATAATCTAAGCATTCTATGTTTAAGTTCTAATAAGGCTTCAACCCATTCCTACGAGTACGATTTGAAAAAAAAATACTTCAACAGTAAGGAATAAAATACTAAATATTTGGGGTACAAATAATTGTCGAAAATACCACATATTAACTAAGTGAGTAACGAGTAAACATGTGGTATTTTTGTCTTAAGACATGTGTCTTAAGTCTCGATTAAAATTATATTCACTATTTTATTTTAGGTACAACTGTATAGGCTCCCAATGCGTCATAGGAAAATAGTTCTCGAAGAGCCACCATCCCAGCCATTGGCATCTACTCTAATAGGTAAGCAATACAAGTTTATAAAACATTTATATATAATGCTTCTTGGATGTTTATCCATATAACTTTATATTATTTTACAGATCTCCTCGTCGAGTTCATAATGTGTCATTTACTAAAGAAGTTTCCTGGGGAACTCTATCAGTTGTGCATAGGGGTGTTATTGCGACTACTTAGCTACCAAAAGCGATGTCGCGTGAGACTAGCTAGAGACTGGCGACCTCTATGGGCTGCACTGATTGCCCTCTTAAAGTTCTTAGTTACCAACGAGAGCACTTTACTGAGGAGACATAACATTTTCATCATGATCCAACAGGTACCTATTCAATATTTTAATAAACCGCCTACATCCAAGTATCTGCAACTCAAGTTGTTTTGTTACGATTATTTTATTACAGACCACATTCCCATTAAGTATTTTATGTGTTGTTTCTAGGTCGTGAACATTTTCAACGTGTTTATCACGTTTGGCGATACCTTCTTGCCAACCCCTGTATCTTATGACCAATTGTACTACGAACTTATTCGGATGCATCAAGTATTCGATAATCTGTTCTATATGGGTAAGTTTACTAACTAAAACACTTTATATTTGTACCCATTCTACCATGCACCTATCTAGAGTTGACGTTGACGGCTTTGTTTTATTTCGCAGCGTTGCGATATTCGACCAGTGATGGTGAATTTAAGGCAGAGGCGCTGCGTCTAGCCAACTGTTTGGTAAATGTTCGAGCTATTATACAACACTTCTCGCCCAAAATTGAGGCCTGGCTGGCCATGCAAAACCTTTCCACACCCACTGAAGATCAGGTCAGTATTTTTAGAAGATCCTATAAAGCTTTGTACCTACTCTCTCTTTATTGAACAGAATTGTTTGATAAAATTCCATTTTTTAACATTTCAGATTCTAGAAGTAGTCAGAAAGAACTATGACAGTCTGATCCTGAAGCTACAAGAAGGACTAGAATCGTACGAGCGGTACTCAGAACGAGAACATCGTCCCCTCCTGTCGCGTCTAGTGCTGGCAGCACGGCAGAGGAGCGACAACTCGGCATTACATCATCACACTGCAGCTGCATTGGAACATTACACCAGCATTTCCTGAAAGTATTAAGTATATCACACTCACGGGGCGCACGATTCAGTTGAAGCCATAGTACGAGTTTAGTTTACGAGTCAATTTAGCGCTTTGATTGGCCGGCTCTAATGAACCAGCCAATCAGAGCGCCGAACGCGGTCTTGTTTCTATTACTTTAAACGTAAAACAAACTCGTACACCACTGTTTACGACGCCCGCAAAATCTTCAACGTCGATAGACTATTTTACATGTTAAGGCTAGCGACGTTAACATAAATAACAAAAAAAAAATATGGCTGTTGTCAAGGTAAACGCACTTTTAGGTCATTTCAAATTTTGAATGAGTATGTGATAAGTAGCAGAATCAGCTGTCCCTGATCGTTTATTTATAACTGATAGTTTATTATGAAATTATGTACACACTTATGTATTTATTTACATCTTTGTAAGCCTAGTCGTTGCTAGCATTTAAACTTATAGAATACAGAATGGCTATAAAATGATATCTTAATTTTAAAACTCTATCTTTTTTTTTAACTTGTAAGGTCATTAGGTGGCATAGATAGATCATATCAATGTGAATTGATATCACTGATAATTAAATTGTATTACCAAAGTTAAAATTTAATACCAGTTGTGACAAGATTGAAGGATATAAAGATAATTACCTACTATAGTGATATAATATGTCTTTTACTATAACTTAAATATATAAGTTTATTTTTAGTGTTGTATTGTATTGTAAGGTATTCCTATATTTTATTTACTATTATTGAATGTTATGTAAGGTTTAGTATTTAGTATTTCTATTTGGTTGTTGTGTAAACCCGAACGAGCATTAAACTAAATTAATCTATATTCGTAAATAACAACTATTACTGCAAGACATTAACCTGACTATCAAATACATAGGAAAAAATGTTTGACATGGTAATGTGGGGACTGTAAACTGCAATACAAACATCATGTGGTAATTTGAGGCCTGAAACTGTGTTAAGCGGGACACATAGATTCTGAGAGGACGCGACGGTTGGCGATAAGGATAACTGATGACTCAAGTTCCTAGTGCTAACTTTACCTATCTACCGTTCTCTTTGTTAAACGTGAGAAATTGTCTATATGAATTCTTAGAATTAGACCATATCGTTTAAGTTGTACCTAATTGTGACAATGTTAAAAATCTGTAAGAAATTGATGAATTCTTCAAATATAGCTTGAGGTATTTGTTATAATCTTTTGAACTACCATGCTTAGAAATCGTACCTATATAGTCCTCCTTACCGTAATCGGCAGGGAGGACTATATATACATTGTCTCATAGGAAAACGTGTGAAAAACGCTTACGTTTTGTTTAAGAATGTTACAGCAATACCAATCCTCTCCCATCCCAAAGGCAACGCACTTGTGGCCCCTCTGAACTCTTCCAGTGTTACGGGTGTCCAAGAGCAGTGCCGATTGCTTACCATCACGTGGTCCGTCTGCTCGTTTATCATCCTTCCCTACAAGATAAATGTAACTGGCGAAGTCGTAGATATTGTTACGTTTTACTAAACGGTCCTTATAAAGTTAATTCGCAAAGTGTCGAAAGATCGAAATGCATTTTTCTCCAACCGTGCGTGTTACGACTGGCGGGCACGGCGCACTATGGCTTGAGTACCACGTCGGATCCTGTCCAACGCATCACTTTTGTATGAAACCACACAAGCTTAAGTTTCAGTCCTAACACCTCATAGGTATTGCAAGTTATGTTGAAATTATGTTTTAGATGCTTAGTATACCTATTTATATTATTGGCCATGTATTTTTAGAAGTTATTATACATATTTAAACAGTAATCTTAGATTATTTAGACATTGTAACAGATTATCATTAAACATTGATGAATTTGAATAAAAGTGTGTATGAGAGCGAAAATAATTTTGATATATGTATAGAGAGTTTTAAAATGTGAAGTATATTAAAATAGTTATTAATTTAATAAATTATTTTTGTGGACATATTCAGCTTTCTTTTTGTACACCTATAAATAAAATACGTTGTTCAAGACAATAATAATATAATTCGACATAAACGCAATAACAATTAATTAAACATACATCAATACTAACATAGACTAGATAATTGCTTTGGTAAGACTAGAATTCCTTCACAGCTTTTGAATGAAGAATTTTATTCTAAAGTAATAAGTAATGGGTCGATAGGAACTTGCTGGCGAATAGAGACAAAATTATATATTAATATATTTTTAAAAAGTAATTATAGTCCCCTACTACATAATAAAGATGTAATAAAAAAAACTAGTTTCCAGTTTCCACCAGGTGATGCATTTTTGTTTAGTGCTCAAATCTGATAATAAAATTAATGAATGTTGAAGTCCCATTCAACGTTGTGCCTCGCCACCCTGTTTTAATAATATTTCTCTGCAAATTGTACTCTTATGTTACAGCCATTGTCAGATACCAAATAACTTGTTGTATTAATTTGCCGGTTTTAGTTCAGCAAGAGCTTCCTTCACTAAGTCTTGTAAGTCTTGCGGCAGAACTGTCTTGGACATGTTCCTTCTCAGCTCTTGGCACTCTTCGACGTCATCCTCATCTTCATCATCATCATATGTCTTCCTTAGGTCTCCTGATGACCCATCACTGGTGTCTTTATTCATCTCATCATCACTATCAGAAAACTTATTTCTATTATTCTCTGAACTGTCATGGGACTTTAGTTGTTCCTTTGAATCATTAGACTTGACAGACCCAGAGTCTGTCAGGAACTCATCCATCAACATTTGTGATGGAAATATGGGGATATATTTCTGACCATTGCACCAACTCTCTAAAGTTTTTTCTAATTCAGTTATTCTATTAGCCAGAATTCTGTAAATAAAAATTAAATGAATTTATATCATAAAAACATTACGCCTTTATTCCCGATGGGGTAGGCAGAAGTGTATATTACGGCACTTAATGCCACTGTACAATGTAACACCCACTTATCGCTATTTATGTTTTGCGACCACTCAGTCAATGAGGCAGGCAATTGTATATATAAAACAATATTCCCAGTTACTTGTGTAACGTTAAAAAGATAAATCCTTTGATACCGGATATGGACAACTATCTATGGATATGTAACTTAGATAACAGTTCATAATATACCAGGATACTAAACTAACATTTGGTGCTAAAAGTTCTATTCTCAAAATGGATATAGGGACAAAAACTACATACTGATTAGTCTTCCTTTGATGTTGCAAGGCAATTGACTTATCATTGAGTGCCTCAAACAAGCCAAGACAGAGAGACTTCAATTCTGCTGCTGATCCCTGCTTCAATCCTGCTTTAGAATAAATGTTGTCTAGAAATTCTCTCACTGCAACAGTACAAAAATGTCTTTAGCCATAAATCTCATAAAAAATACATGCATAGATGTGACTAATTATAATTATGTTAAATACCTTGTTTTTGTGTCATAACATCTGCAAAACCTTTTTTCATCTGCAAAGAGTAATTTTTACTCCTATTGTCAAGCAATGTCTGAAAAACAATAAAATTACCATACTTATCAACCATTATTTCCTGTACATATTGATAAACCAGAATTAATGGCTAAAAGGATAACAAACCTTATATTTTGTTAGCGTTCTCTTTATTATTTCCTTTTCTACTTGAAGCTGTGTTATTCTTTCATGAAGGTATTTATTTTCAGTGACTAAAGCATCAATGTCAACTATAGGCTTTGGGGGATCTACATCATTACTGTCTTGTAGTTTTGTTCTGTTGGACAAGATATAACTGATCTGATGGCTCAACCTTTGTACTTTGTTTTTATAGTAATCTCTATCAGAAACCAGTTCTTCTTTTTCGTCCAATGTTGCCCTGTAGTCCAACTGCATTTGTTGGTACTGAAACCATGAAGATCAAGATAATATATTTTTTTTTATTTTGTAGTAAAGATATTGTGTTTAACAAACCTTCTTTTGATTCTTTTCAAGTTCATTGACCAGCTGTTCATAGTCTTTGTGAGAGTAGCTAAATATAGTTGAAGACTTTTTGTGTCCATTCATTTCGTCAGTAATACTGTCTCGTTTTTGCAGCTGTTTCTTTAGAGCTACTATATCCTCTTTAGCTTCCTCTAATTTGCTTTTAAGAGATTCAACCTAAAAGTGACATTATTTTAAGTGTGGGAGAGTCATGCTCAGGCACAAATGGGCTGGCTCAACTTTTAAAAGGGAACATCCCTTTAGTTCCATTAATTTATTTACATTTTATATTTAAAAATATATAATACAGATTTAAGATTTCACTTAATTTTTAATCAATGTATAAATTAAAATAGTTATTTCAGTTAATCAATAAAGGAAACCATAATAGATATTTGTTACAAAAAATCAACACCATTTTACCTCTAACTTCAGCATATTGTTATGGTCTTGTGTTTTAGCAAGCATCTCTCCACCAGTAATAGTATTAGTAGGAGTTAGTCTATAAGATACATTGTTAGCACCTGGACTAGATTTCATAGGCACTGTTTTCTTGCACATCAACTGTTCTACTAACACCTTGAATCTATCCCTCTCCATGCTGCATTTGTCCAATTCTCTGCTCATTATTGATAAAGCATCTATCTTACTTTGTAACTTACTTTTTAAAACTGAATTCTGAAATAAAAATACAAATGAGTCTGACACTTGAAGTGTGTATACATGCATTATGTTCTAATTTGGAGTTCATGGATGAACCACGGATCTTTGGATAGTAAATAAATTATCAGTCAGTGAGCATTTTTTTAAAAATAAATTATTAGATATTTATTTACCTCAAGAACATAATCGTCTAATTGTTGATCTTGAAATTTGACTTTGGTCAGAGATGATTTGTGGAACATTGTTATTTTATATTTTAACTTTTGCTACAGTAAGAACACTTCATAATATATTATTTTTTCTTTGCTTGCGGAGCGCACTTAAACTCAACGTTATCCATGAAACAGTTTTTCATTCACAACTGATAAGACAAGCGATAGCTGATTTCATTTCATTGACATTTTGACATGAAATGATCAATCAAAATGACATTTGTTTGACAAATTACAGGGCATAGAGCTCTACCAAAGGACTTTTGGTTGGGTAACATTGACATACCTTTTAAAAACCACCCATTCATCATTCAATTTGTGTTTTCCTTATAATACAAAGTGGAATCGAAATAGTTAGATAGAGATAGTTCAGTGTAATGTAATTTTATGAATTCCTGTTTGTACCAGACGTTTGTATATCTAGCATTTAGATCTGCGGTTTTTTTTCTTTCAACCAAGTTTTCAACAATATTTCACTTTGCTGCCGCACTACTCTACTACGAAGAGAATAAATAGTAATAAAGGGCTACTCTATTGTTTGAGACGTTTTGTTTTTAATCTGTGACAATCTTTAATTGTCAACTTGATTTAGAACAAGTGGTACAGTAGTACGGATTTTTCTCGTTTACTGCAGATGTTAAGTGAAATTACTACTTTTATAAGCACTGAGCACTGCTTCGATGCAATGCGTTCCGGACAAACACAGAGGAGTAGGTTTCGTTCATCCTAACGCATGGCAAGGATGGCCGCGTCTGGTTCCGAAATTGATGACTTCTTGAACGGGCCTCTAGTTTCGTGGGTGAGTGCACAACGATTCGTGCCTCTGTTTTTATAGCTGTGCGCGTAAATATAAAGCGTGAGATGAATTTGTCTAAGCGTTTCTTGTGAATGAATGTGGTATTTATTTATTTTGCATGGTTTGTAATCGTTATTTATTTTTAGGACTATACTTATGGAACAGAGTATGTTGTGATTCTCTGTTGTCATACTCGAGTGATCAAGTTGTTTTGTAATGGATGGTTGTAAGATTGTACATGCTATGATATTCTCTTCATTTATTGAGTGATTGATTTATGGGATGTTGGCTATATATACGTTCCTCCAGCTGTTATTAAAAGCAGTGACTTAAAAAGATTCGTCATCATTTTGGAAGTTAAAAATAGGCATGCATTTCTTGTGTTAAAAATAAATGTACTTGGAACCAATTTCAAAGAATATGATAATCATACTTAATTAAAGTTTTTCTTATGGTTGTTATTATGGTATTGTAGAAGAGAGCTGAGTTTAATATCTGTGTAGTATAATAAAAGTATAATAAAAGTATAATAATAATATAATAAAAATACTTCCCACAACTGTTCATTGATGCATTGTTGGTGTGTTACCATTGATACTAGAACACACATGTTCTGTTGTTAGAGAAATTCTTCACATACTTCCTATTATCTTTTGTGAATGTTCATTTGATCATGGATCTAATAATTATCAAACTTTCTATTTTACTGCAGATGATTCTATCTTTTGTGAAGTTTTATAAATAGACTGTACCTATAATATGAAGCTACATATTATGTAGACAGACAATATTTAAACTAGGTACTTATATTATGTCTAAAGTGGTATTTAAAATTATATTTTCAGCTAAAATCATGTCTTCCAAGTCCAGATGTCACAGAGTATTCGTCTCTGTTCAATGGAGACATCTTACATCAAGTGTACCTTCAGATAGACCCAGAGCCATCATGTCATATCACAAAGCTTGCTGGGCTGGAAGACCAAGCCCTGATATTAGGTAGAGTGAAGAACTTTGATGCCATTATCAAAAATGTGAAGAGTTTGTACGAAGAAGAGCTTGGTATGACACTCTTGGTGGTCCCTGAGTGTATATGCTTGGGCAAGGCACCAGAATCTAGAGAGGGTCTGGAAACTATGAAGCTTTTGATCTTGCTTCTCCTTGGTGCAGCAGTACAGTGTCCTAATAAAGAACTGTTCATCACCAGGATTAAGGAACTTAATGTTGATCTGCAGCACAACATTGTGGAATGCATCAAACAGGTATGAATATTCTTCGTCCAATGCAATAAAAATATGCTGTACATTGATCATGCCCTTTTTTGTAGGAATAGGGAAATAAAATAGTACTAGTTTATTAATCTGTTAAATATATTGCCAGCTATCTAAATTCAGTTTTTTATCACTTTATTGACAGTAGAAAACTCATTAGCTATGTAACTCTACTAGTATTGAAATATGAGCAACCAGTGAACAAAATAATTGTCACTAATAAAGAAAATGAAATATGATTCCACAAATTTGGGTACCTAGCCATTTGTCATGTATCCAAGGCCCTTTGAGGTTCCATTAAGGTGTAATTTATGGATAAAGAAGTCAGTCATCTATGTATAAGGAAGTGTTCACACATACATAAGCCATGTCTCACAGTTAGAATACAACTGATAATAGAACCAGTCAAGCATGACTTGACTCACAATTATTGTCTCTTGTGTAAGTTTTAGTTGACATTTTACAGTTATTTAAATGTTTACTTGTATGAAGTAACCAATTATATTTGGATGAGAAATAAATATATATTTGTAGGAGAACTAAATTATTATGAAAATTATTTTTCTCTCTATGGATGATGGATCGTTACAGGGAGACCTCGGGGTCAGTTTTAACCAGACTTTTTATTCATAAATCTAACCTGACCAGCTGTAAACAAAAATTATATTCGAAAATGCAATAATAGGTCCTTAGCTGTCAAGACACTCACGCCATACTTACAACTCCTACTGCAACCAAAAAAGCTTAATACACCTTGAGCTTAGTATAAAAATATTCACACATACCAGTGTTTATTTAACTTTCGTAAATAAATGTTACAAAGTCACAATAAACTGTGAAGTAGAATGTCCATGACAAATCTTCAACATGTGCTCATGTTAACTGGTTGTCAAATATTACGCAAAGTTGTCTGTTCTAATGACACTTAGAACATACAAATTGAATACAAGACCTTACAAAAACCAGTTTAATAGTTTGAAATTATTCCTATAGGTTCTCTAGTTAGTTATGTTCAGAGTTTGGCCAACTTTGTAGTCACACAATTTTAAGTATACAATCGCTGATACTGAGATTTCGCAATCAAAAAACCCAATAACAATACCTGAAGTAACATTCTAGCACAGCATAATTATAGCAAAACTTGTTTTTTTTTTCAAAAGCTCTTGGAGTACAACACCTGATCAACAAGTTGACTTGTATATACCATACAAATTATAATATTTTTAAAGGTTACAGACATGCAGACTGTGGTATTGACGCCAGACGCCATCGATCTTTTTCAATCACCGACGATGTTTAATCACATGCGTCGGCTAGCTAAAGAACGTGATCACTATCTACAAAACTGGGCTTCACTAGTACTTCACGAAGGTTTGTGTGAGAATGACAATGAGAACAAAAATGGAAAGAATAGGTCTACACAGAATGTCAACCAAAATAATGGCGATAGCCAACATCTTGCTGTGGAGCTAGCTGATTGGAAAGCACGTCTGAGGAAGCAAAGACAAGAATTGTGAGTAGTTATGTGATAAAAACTTTACTGGTGGACAATTGAATTAGGTCATTTCTCATTTTTATCTAGTTAAATAATAAGTTCATAAACATTCACTGTGTCATGTAAGAACTACACTTATAAATTCAGTATCTAAGTTTAATAATAATTATTAAAAACTGTTTTAATTTTGGTACATTCTCGATATCAGTTTTGCTTGACCTAATTTGATTGTCTGTAAATATATTTAATATTAAATGTGTTAATTGCATTATACTAACTACTAATGTTATTGTTCAACTTTTAGGGAAGAAAAATCAGAACAGTTATCCGAATGTCGTGAAGAATTAGAACACACCAAGCTAGTGTTAGCCAAGTTACGCTCTGACAGCCAAGAATGGTTCAATGAAGCTAGAAAATCAGCAGGCTATCGAGATGAAGTTGATGCTCTTAGGGAAAAAGCGGAGCGATGTGATAGGTAAGTCTAACATACTTGTAAATAATTACGCTACATGACTAACATATTGTATTAGATAGGGAACATAATAATCATTTATGTTCATAGGCTGGAACAAGAAATTCAGCGGTACCGTGATCGTCTAGCGGATGCGGAGTACTATAAAACTCGAGTTACAGAACTTCGCGAAGATAATAAAGCTTTAATGGAAACAAGAGATGCCTTAGAAGAACAACTACAAAGAGCGCGGAAACGAGCCGAACAATGCCTTACTTTAGAGGCAGCTATGATCAAATTAAAGAGGGAAGCCAATGATATTGCATTGGTAAGTAGTCTATCATTTTTATATAGGAATATTCAAAAGCCAAAGATTTGATACATTTCACATCATCTACTGTTTTTATTTTTTAAAGGAAAGGGATGCAGATCAACAGAAAATCCAGGAACTTATTGAAGAAAATAATCATCTGCAGTACATAACAAAATCAGTATTAAGTGAAAGCAATAATAGTAATTTAGATACGGACAACGAAGGAGAGAGTACTCTAGAATCTGGAGAAAATAGTTTATCAGAACAATTAACGAGTAACGCTCAAGCCAGGGCCTTAAAACTGGAACTTGAAAATAAGAGACTTTTATCAACAATAGATAGCCTTCGAGAACAAACATTACTAGAAAGTAGTGATAAAGTGCTTGAGCTAGAGAAGGAAAAGAAAAGGTTAACATTAAAATGTGAGCAGCTTCAAGAAAACTGTAACAGGCTTATGCAACAAAACTCTGAGCTAGAAGAAGTGTTCAGAAATGCTCTAGAAGAAAATAGAAAGTTACAAGATTCTTTCGATAGCCAAAAAACATTTATAGATCGACAAGCAATTGATAGAGATTCAGAAAAGAACAAATTACAAGATTTTGAAAAGCATTTGGAATCTATAACCAAAGATAAACAGAGAATTCAAATGTTATGTGATTCTATTCAAAGAAGAGCAGATGAATTAGAAAAGTCTTTGGATTCTAGAACTAAAGAACTGAACATTTTGAAGCCTGAAGCTGATAAGGTCACTGGTCTCATAATTCTAACTGAGGAATTAAAAACGAAATTAACATACAGTGAAAGGGACACACATAACTTGCAGAGGGAAGTTAACAAGTTAAGAGAAGCTGTTGAAGAAAAGGATGTATCACTTGATAAACTTACAACCGAAATTGAACTCAAAAAGAAGGAATTGGAGAGATTAACAAGAGAACTAGAGATAAGCCACACAATGACAAGTAAACTTCAAGACTTAGAACAAAAGACTCAAGAGCTTAAATCACAAAAGAAAGTAGATTCTGAAACTATTCAAACACTACAAAAAGATCTTATTTCGGAAAAGGTCAATTTTGATAAACTAAGAAATTGTATGGATAAACTTGGTATTAATGCAACAGAAGTATTAAGTAGAGATGTTAGTATAGAAGATTTATTAGAAAAAGTTATCACAAATGTTGATCATGAAGGATTGATATCAGAAATTGCAGCTAAGGCCAATCTAATGAAATTGGTTCCATGTGATTGTAATCATGACAATGTTAACGTAAACAGCAATGACGATATAGTCAATCCGCAAATAGAGCAACTCACTTCAGATCTTGCGACATTGCAGGCATCATTAGAAAGTAGTCAAGCCGAAAATGCTAAACTACAAGTAAACATTGCAACTTTGAACTCTCAGAATGGTTCCTTGATATCTCAACAAATGACCCTACAGCTAGCTAATAGCCAACTTGCTGCTGAAAAAGAAGAGATTATCAAACAGTTAGAAGTTTTGAAAGATAAACAAGATAACCTACTGAGAGATCAAGTGGCTCTACAGACACTTCATGAACAGCTTAACACTGAATACGAAACTCTGCTCAGTGAAAGAGAACCTGTTAAAATCGTTGTTAGAGATCTAAAACTTGAAAATCGAGAATTAAAAGAAAAATTGACACAGTATGAGAAGAAGGTGTCCGATTTGGAAACCGAAAGAGAAAACTTAAAAATTGAATCCAGAAACCTGGTTAATCTTAGAGCTGAGCATTCTAAACTCAAGGATGACTTCAGGAACCTCTTTACAGCAAGTGATAGACTGAAGAATGAGTACAGAAATATGCAAGAAGAATATAGAAATCTTAGGAGTGAAGTTACTCAACTAAAATTAAGAAATACTGAGATATCTGGTGAAATCAATACAAAGGTTGAGATTATAACCAGTATGGAATTAGAAATTAATAAGACCAACCAACATTGTGAAATGTTAATTCAAATGAATAAGAGTTTAGATGCAGACAGGCGTTCTTTGATGGATCATGTGTCACAACTGTTGACCCAATATCACGAACTACTTGCTCACTCACTAAAAGATAAACAACATTACCATGAAGAAGAAAAGATGTTTGCAGATAAAGTTAATGCGTTGTGTCGCCAAAAAGAAAAATTAGAAGAAAAAATTATGGAACATTACAAAAAATTGGATAACTGCACCACCAAAAGACGTGGTTTTGGTGCGTCATTTGTGAAGAGGGTGCGTAAAGCTGGAACAGATTTGATTAATAAAGTACCAACAAGAAACAACAAACGAATTGAAGACGCCAGTCGATCGAAATCTCAGCTTACGTTAGCTGGATCGGAATCGGGTGAATCGGATCCTGGTAGCCAAGAGCTAGAAAAAATTTCGAAAAATTCCGACCAAGATCAAGGTTCTTCAAATCCCAGTGCTGAGTCTCCAAGACATAGCATTGATTCTAGTTTCACGAGAAGGTTTGATGATAAACTTTTGAAAAAATCGGATAATGTTGACATGAGTGGATCAATTCCAAGTTTGGATTCAACTAGGTTGACTAGTGAAAGTAATTTTGTGCGGAGGCTTTCTGGAACATCGATACACAGCGGTGGAGGCGATGATGCGCTTATCAGAGCATCGTTGAGACGACGACCACATAAAGCAGTTCCACCTACCCACAGAAATAGTTTCCAAGGTCTAGAAAGTGACACGGGGCTGCCGGCAGGTAAATTTCAAATAGTGTGTTTTTAAATAATTTAAGTTTGTTAAAAAAAATGCTTGATCGTGACCTAATTTATTTTTCTAGCATCAACACCAACACCATTTGGCACAGCAGGTACCAGACGTACGGTGTACGTAGCAGATGAAGATGCTAGTGCTAATCTGAATACTAAGCCACAAAGTACACCTATCAAAGAAAACCCAACCTACTTGGTATACAATCGAATTTCCACTGTAATTGGTGATGGTGCCTGTCAAAGCATGAATGATCGACCAGCCACAGACCAACACAGGTCAATGTCGGAACATCCGAGATCTGCAGCAGAAGAGAGTTTGCCGGAAAGAGATGATCTAAGGAATGATAGAAGGTCAATAAATCGGAATGAGAAAACGGATAACTCGAAAGAATCGGCAATTTGGTACGAGTATGGTTGCGTATGAGGTATTTTTTGAATGTTTATTAACTAATTTAGGATGGATGTTTGGAATGTATTACAGACTGATGAGATGCCTTGTATTTTGATATTCGATATGATCGCGCGGTTGGTATATTGCAAACATACTTACGACAAATTGGCAATGTTTTGATAATGTGATAAAATACGTTATTATTTTATTTTGAAACCAGTATTAGTTGGCATTTAATTTGTTGATATGGGTGACAATAAATTTCCTGTTTAGCTTTAAAAACTGTAACGTAAACATCTATGACACGAATATCAGTAAATATTAGACAGCATAGTACGTAAAATTAAGTTTTCATAGTTTCGATGCATCGATAATCATGGTTTATAAGGCAGCTATATTATTATTTTGAAATAATAAAATTAAGTACAAACTTAATTTATTTTTTATGTCGCTTGATATTTATTTCAATCTTTACACACTAAAAAACATTTAGAGCAGCTGTTCTAAAATATAAATAGCTACAAATAGAATGAAACCTGTAATTAAACATGTAATTTTCTCTTTAGGAATATTTCTCCTTAGTATAAAGTTAATTTACAGTAATTTTTTAGCATATGATTTACCAGTGTAGTAAAGACTAACAACATAATAGCATTGCGTGCTATTTAACAGTGGAATAATATTGTAATGTAATGTATGGATCAATTTTATTTTACAGGACCAAATAATTTACTATTTTAGATTATATCAATTTTATTTACTTTACTTTTGAGATTAATACTCAAACTTATTTTGAGGCTATGCATGATGCATCTATAAAATTTATGTAAATCTTTTTTATTCATGTAAATATAAGTTTAATTTTTTAGTTTGATTAATACAATACCTACACTTTGTGATGTTTTTCTTAGTTTTTTACCTTGCCAGTGATATATGTGAATTCTAAAATACATAATATTATTGTATTATCGTTTCTCAGTGCATGTATTTAATATGCGATCTTTCCGTACACTATGTACCAAGCTGAATTGTCTAAAAGATGGGAAAATATAATTTACTGAAGAACATTATTTTGTACGTAATTCTTAGAATTAATTAAATTTCGCAAACTTTGCGACGAAAATTGTAACAGGTTCTGAATGCTCTCTTTTTAATACATTTCTCGTCTAACATCTGTATATTAAGCAACATACTAAAATGACAAAACCAGAGCTTTTATATTAGGTACCTTGATTTTATTAGTCAAGATGATGTTTTCTATACTAATGATTATAAAGTTAACCATCAGCTTTTGGTACATATTGTATGATCTCTTTACTTACTATAATTTGTGTGTCAAGCACTTATGTACAAATATATTTTATTTGTATGTTTGTATTATTGTACAAGTACTTAGTGTACCTATTGTGTATGTTTATCTCTAGTTTCCTTTAATAAGAAGTTAATGATATTATTACAGTTACAGAAATCTTTATTAATATTTCATTACACATTTTGTCCAGTACAAACAAACGTAATATGACAGACTATGTTGCATTGTCGTACTTTGTGATCATAAGTAGAATAAGTTTACTGTGTTAATTACTTAAAAACTGAATCTTCCTCTTGTTCAATTTATTATAAATTGGAAGATGTGTATTCGTTTTTCATTGAATTTATTTAGCAGTTGAACTCGGCAACAGTTATTTAATAGCAGCAAGTACATTATTGTTATAGACTAGTGCCTTTTGATGCCCCATAATTTGATTTAATTGAATGTTAATAGTGTATTCATTTATTGGTACTAAAGATGGTGCTTTTCATCACTGTGATGAAATCATTACAGAAAATTGTTTAAAATGTAATTATAATATTTATTTGGTAAAGTTAACAGCGTTTGACAAAAACTGCCCGACTTCCATATTCTTTTGTAATAATTGAAGGAAAGGCTTACTTTTTACTAATTTAGGTGAAGCACAAATATGTACTGATTTATTATTTCTCCATGGACATACAATGACTTATGATTTTAACTCCATTTATTTGATATTATTTGTAATTTACTTAATTATAGTAAGGTACTTAATAAATGCCTCTCACCGAATTTATATTTTAGCACACATTTAACTTCTCGAATACAGTTCTTATTAAACATTGTGTGATGTCTTTTCTTTTATATATCCATAGTACCTTTGTCCATTTATAAAATTTATTGTTTATTGTAACTGAGGATAACTTCTGCCAATGTAGAGTGAATAACTAAATAAAAAAAACCTTATTATGGTACTAAGAACTTTATTTTCCAACTGCACTTCACACATTTTATTTATTTGTGCTTACATCTAAATATTTTACATTATTCTAGAAGAGATCCATTACAACCAGACTCTGCTTTTACCTCCCACTTCACAGGACAAGGCTGCATGGACACTTTGAATGACTGTCCTGATACAACTGCTTTCTGGCCTGGTTCCACTTTTTGTGGCAGATAAGAAATGATGCACTGAAAATTTGTAAAATAAATGGTTATAACCATGCAAATAACCTGTTAATAAAACATAAAATTTAGTCATACAATACCTTTGGTCTGTCGTTTTCAGTTGACATGTACCCAATACACATTGTTTTTGTAGTGTGACCCCAAAGTAATTCTCCTTCACCATTCAGTGCATCAAATTTCAAAGCTAATGTTCCACCAAGCCTATCAGGGACATCCCATAAAAAAGGTGACTGTAGGAAATTCTCTTTCAAACATTTATCAAGGCCTAAAACTGGAGAAGGGTCAAGCAAACTTTCTGCAGAATTTTTAGCTAGCTGTGTTCGAATCAAATGTTCCCCACATCCAGAAGTGCAAGAGGCCACTGAAGGCTTTGTGCCATCCCTGCTCATTACTGCCCAAACTCCACTGCCAAAGGAAGCAGCCTGCCCAACTCTGCCTTCATGCTTCAAAGAAACACCACCAGAACTTGCTCCAGAAGCTACAACACCATTGGAATCCACACAGATTGCCCCAACTGTGTCTAATGGGCTAAATTTAATATCATTTTGTATGGAATATCGTTTCAGCTTTCTTTTACAATGTTTATAGTTTCGAAATGCACGTGCTGAGACCATTTTGTGATCTTCTACAATTTCCAAACCCAGTCTTTGTGCCCAGGATCTTGCTCCATGTCCAGTAAGTATGCAAGGAGGGACTCTGCCCAAAGACAAATTATCACATTGTTTAATGCATAATTGTTTGGCTAATGTGATTGGATTCCATACATTTGAAACAGCCCCACAGGCACCAAAATGTAAAGTTTGGCCATTCATGAGAGATGCATCACATTCTACAGTGCCATTCCAACTTAGGTTTGATCCATAGCCAGCATTAGTTAGTGGACTATTTTCTAATTCTGGAAATATAATAAAATACTCAAAAGAAAGGAAAATAGATGGTCAGGTAGGTAAGTTTATTACTCACTTAAAAAGTAATTTGTATAAATTAATTTATTAAAGATACAATTTATGATAATTAATATATACAACTTAAAATATATAAAAATAATTTAAAACTAAAATATTTACACCTTAAAAAAATAATAAAAATAAATCATAAGGCATCAAAGAAAACATTTTCCTCATCGCTACCTTGAGGTAGGGTGCCCAAAAGACTGGCAGCATTGCCACGTTGAATGGCAATGGTTAACCTTTGCCCTTCGATCACCTGAAGTGTCAACCATCCTCCTTACAATATCTTTGTAAAGAAGATGTGCACTTGGGCCCCACGGCCCTAAAGTTTCAACCCCAAATTTGTATAAATTGATTCCAATTACTATTGAAATGAAAAATCAATAGATAATACAAACCTATTATGGCTTTCTCTACAGCATCTACGGCGTTACCACCTTGCTGGAGAGCAGTGGCAGCTTTCCTGCATGCTAAATAACAAGTTTTTTGATATTCCTTTTTCAATGTATCACTGTGATAACCAGCACCTGAAATTCGTTGCAGAACTTAGTAGCGACTACACTATGGTAGTAGTTATAAGATCATTATCTGATATTTTAATTTTGGGTTTTTTATTGTAGAAAAAGAAATTACCACAATGTACAGCTATAAACCCATTCATTATTAGATAGGTGGGTATTTCTGATAAACTAATATATTTTTCTGATTACACTGCCTAATAAACATCAATTTATATTATCTCGTAGTTTCTAAAATAATCACTATCTTCATGTTTTTAATGTGTAAAAATAATAGGAACTAAGTGGGAGAGCGTCAACAAAAACAAAAATAATTGATTGATTGAACTTTTACTGTCTGACATGAACCTTGTACATGACAGTGAAGTGAATGAATTATAAAAAATGAATGAATTGTAAACGATCGATCCGCATTACAAAACTTTTTTAAGTTTTGAATACTGGTCATTTGATACAATAAAAACTGTATCAAATGATGAGATTAATTACAATAAAAACTATTAATATCAATTTTAATTTATTTAATTCTTAAAGTACTATGAGGACGGCAATGGGTTGGAGTGGAGAACTTTGTGACCATTTCTTATCATGTTTCTTGAAATTCATAGTATTTTAAATTCTAATTGAAAAAAAAGCCACAAAATAAATCTATCAAGTGGCTAGGAGAGGCACCATGAGTTCCTACTGGTTTACCCAAGTAACAAGCAAAGTCGGGTGAATCTTTAAGCATATTACCTAATTGTATAATTATGCATCCTTTTCTTTGCTTTTATCCCAAGAATTTTGGAATTATTGCCTCTTTTATCTTTGAACCTAAGAATATCTACCCAATTTCTACTTACTCTCTAAATTACAGACAATGTTTAGAATTTAGAGTGCATAATAGGAGAAACAGTATGGTCTAGATTTTATTATGCTGAATTTGTAAGACTTAGGCTTATACATATTACTAAAAATATATTTTGTATCATGATTTACATCTAGTGCATCGATTTAGCTTTGAAAGTGAAAACAACCATTATGCATTTTCAATTTAAAAATGTATATATATAATATTTTTACAACTCAATAAAATTTTTTTAGTGCTGGGCAATATTAATAAATTATTATGTAACAATCACCGAAGCAGAAGAATTTAAGTTTTTATTTACAAACTCCTAAAACAATGACTAAAAAATGTGTGTATTTTTACATTTCAATGTGTTGTATAGTCAACATGTTATTATACTATGTTTACATACATTAGAAATACATCAGGTGAGATTATTCTATTTAATAAAAATACTACTTAAATATCCATTGTGTCTTATTGAAAGTACTAAAATCAATAATATCAAATGAATTGCAGAAACTACTTTGTTAGACTTTTCCCAGTTGTCATCATAACACCAACCACTAAAGCTGTGATTGTAAATCCTTGTGCAACTATTCTGAGCCGCATCATTTGTTGAGACATCTTCTTGCGCCCTGTTCTGAAGCTCCAAAGTCCATATGACAGAGCACCTGCTGTGGCCAAACATCCTGGAACATGACAATGTATTTTGTTTACATTGGCACCATAATTTTATTTCTTGTTTCACGAAGTAATTTCTTGTGTTGCAGATAAAAACATTGAGCAATAATCTGTTTACCGAAATTAAGCTATTGCATAAGTATATCATAAAAAGGTACTACAAAAAATTATTTCCAACAGGATGAATACAACCGAATACAGCCATTATTCCAAAATTATATTGAATGTGATAAGTTTTCAACAAAAATTTCTACGGTCATACCGATAGGAACGAAAGGATTCTCAGAAAATTTTCTTCCAAATTTTTCACTTGTTGTTTCAACATGCTGGTGCGCTCCCATCTCTTTTCGGAGCTGCACCCAATCCAAATCAGTGGGTTCATCATTAGACATCATGGAGAATTCTTAAAATTTAAATGAGGTAGTATTAATCTGAGTTACAACAGTTTGTTTTTATTGCATCTCAAATGAAGAATTTCATTTGTCAAAGAATAAAAATATAACCTAAACAATATATGTCAAAATTTACTTTATGTCAGTGTCAACTTGTACTATCAGTATCAGCACTATCAGCTGACTGACAAATAAGATTAGCGTTTATTAAATTTCCAATAAAAAATTAAATAAAATTAAAATTAACAATTACGAAATTAAAAATAAAATATATACAACTTAAGATTAAAATTATATGACTGAATTCTGAGTGATTGAGCGAATGGGGTAATGTTATATATCTGTATGTAAAAGCGACAAGCGAGTCGATAGAGTATTTTTATGGGAATGGGGGTGTGGGTATGCTCGAGGGTATGGGGTATGGTTCGACAAAAATTGTTTTTAATAAAAAAAAATCACTTAAATTGTTTAGAATATAATTTAGTATGAATGAAAATAAAAGTTCAAATTTCTTCAGGTGACCGCCTAAACTGACACTCCTTGTCTATGGCCTCCCTAAAATGCCAATTGCCAGGTGAGGTTGCCATATTGAATTGTCTTTGTTTTATTTGTTAGTCTCGTCCAAAGAGTATAATAAGTATAGGGGATAAGAGTTGCCACTCGTCAAAAATTTATGCCAATCAATTTGAAACGCCATCTGAAAATTGGATCCAAGTATATTTTTTTTTTTTACTAACTTCTACAGATAATCCTAAACATAGCTAATGCCAATACTACCAACAATGTACCTTGCAGGTTGGTACATTGAAGGTAGTATTGGAATTAGCTATGTCTGGTAGCTGCAAAATCAAAGAAGTTATTAATTACAATATTACATTTATTTTACAGTAAATACAAATTAACATTTAAAAATTATCAGCTACTAGGGGAAATATCAGACGATAGATTTGTTCAAAGTAT